AAAATCAAACTAGAAATATAATTAAATAAATAAAAACATATTTTATTTTGTTACAAAAACAAAATTAAAATCTGATTTAAATAAATAAAAAAACAGAAAATAAATGAATAACTTACTTGATTAATATGTTGAATATTATTCTGATCAAGTCCAGTGTTTGACACTGTGTCCTTAAGACAGATTTGTCCTCTCCTCGGTGCTTTCCGAATATGGACGTTTATCTCCCAAGATGAAATGATCAACAACAAATATATGCAGCACTATAATATATTTGTACAAAGAACACACTAAGTGTTTTATACTCTCTCTAACATGAAAATAATGCAGCAAAATGAAGAGTATGAATACAGAATTTTATGGATGAAAATTAGTGAATGAATCCAAATGAGGAACTAGTCTATTTATAGATGTATTGGTGGCTGCAGATTTTGAATTAAATAGGTGCAACCTGTTTGAACAGGTATGAAACCTGTTTGGTTTTGAATTAAACAGATTTAAATCTGTTGGGTTCAAAATTTAAACAGATAAAAACGGAAAGGACCTATTTGGGTGTACAGAAAAACCGGACCAGTTTATTTTCGGAATTAATTTGAATTCTGGATTTTATTTTACCAAAAAATAAAATCAAATTCAAATGTTTTTTGCCCAAAAAGATAGGTATTGGGCCTAACAAGCCCAACCCAACCTCACACCACGCGCCCATGCTGGCCGGACAAGCCCAACCCAACCCAACCCAACCTTACACCATTCACCTACGCCCAAGCCCACCGACGGCGCGCGTGTGGTGATTTTTGGATCCAATGGGTTTAGCCCATTTTGCCCATAACCTCTCCCTTCTAGAAACTTGGGGTGCCCCTTAGGACCATTCCCTAGCTATAAGTCCAAGCTATATAAACCCATTCAAAACTTCCCACCAAACCAATGTGGGACAAGCCATTTACACAAACCTTAAAGAATTTCCACCAAAATTCCATTTTTATGAAACACACTTTGGCTTCAATTTCCCATTCACTCGATAATGGTTTTGAGCAACCAAATATACCACGTAGATCACAACGCAGCATATAACGCGTTACCACTTTGACCCGCAAAATCTACGCTCGAGGCCCACCTAAAAAATAGACCAAACTTAGGAAAAAATTCTGGTTTTACCCAGAATTTTTCCAACCATTTCTACCATCACATTACTGGTGATTGGTACTCTCGTCGGTCAGCCAGGGACTTCACGTCAGTTGGGATCCAGTTCAAGCCAAGCAAGGCATCCCAATTGACAGACATAGATTTCAAGTCTACATGGACTTCTGGGACTCTCCAACTTCCTCCAATTATCGTTGATGACATAACAAAGTCTATTCTGTTGAACTTGGCGGCCTATGAGGCCTGCCCGGATGGTATAACTGATGTTGGTGTGACCTCTTGCATATGTTTCATGAATTCTCTTGTTGATCATGTTGAAGATGTAAAGGTGTTAAGGTCCAAAGGTATATTGCTCAACTTTCTTGGTAGTGACCAACCTGTGGCTGATATTTTCAATGAGATAGCTACTGAGTTGGTTCCAAGCCCTCATGCTTATGTTGAAGTGAAAACAAGAATTGAAAAGCATCACCCTCATGCTTATGTTGAAGTGAAAACAAGAATTGAAAAGCATCATAGAAACAGCATGAAGATTTGGATGGCAGAGTGGCGCAATATTGTTATCAGTGCTGCAATTTTGACTATTACTTTGAGTGTCTTTCAGACTATCCTTGTTGCAATTCAAACTTACCTCACAGCCCACCCTCCAAAAGGTTGAAACTTCTGGGAACACTGCTCTGTCTTTGTTTCCTTCTCTTATTACTTATCAACTTTGAAAGGTTTGCTCAAGATTGATATATTTGTTTTTGCTTGAATTTGTTTTGTTTTGATGTGATCATTTCTTTTATGTTTACATAAAAACTCTCTGTTTCTCTCTGTTTGGTGCTGCTAATTGAGCTGCTTATAAGCCGAGCCAAAAAAAAAAATTGAGCTGCTTTTTAAGTTTTTAATATTGAAAAAATATTTGGTACAGTTTATGTTTAAACAGTAAATTTAAACATATGGTAAAAGGACCTGAATTTTCATATGGTAAGATGCCCTAAATTTTCATATGAATTTGAATTTGGATCATGGTTTAAACAGTAACATATCTAATCTTTTGAATTTGGCATGGTAAGACGACCTAAATTTTCATATGGATTTGAATTTGGATCGTGGTTTAAACAGTAATATATCTCATCTCATCTTTTGGTATGTATGTGAAAAACATGTTGCCAGATGAAAAAGAATAAAAACTAAGGGACTGGATAGAGCATCTCCAATGCACTAGGCATATAACTTGTTAGTTAAAATGCCTAGTGTTATTCACTTTTTCAATTCCAATGCACTAGGTATATGATTAGGTATTTTGACTCAACTCATATTCACTAGCTACATGTAGCTAGTCTTCAACGCTAGGCAAAATGTATTCAATCATTAGGATCATTTCCCTCCATCTTTATTGTTAACGTGGCATTTTATAAAATTAATAGTATTTGGATAAATAGCTAAAACAAAGAGCATGGTTAGAGTAAAAATATAAAACAGTTGATAGGCAAAATAAAATATATACTTTATAGTAATATTTAGATAGGTAAAATGCCTACTACCGTTGGAGATGCTCCCCAAAAAAAACATGCAAATAAAAAAAGCTTATGACTTTATATAAAAAGAAAAAGATCACAAACAAAAGGAGAATACCTCAATTCTTTCTCAGCAAGTAAGACGAGCAGGAAAAAGAAATGTTGAACTTAATTTTTTGCTTTGATAACACTTGTAAAGGTGTCGATCTCAATCTAATACAATAAAAGATAATTGCTCAAAACTGGAACTGTTAAGCAGATTTAAGGATCATAAGATAAATATTATACTGTCTCTTGCTAGATTGTGTATTTGATTGGCTTCCGACAGTGTTACTTTGATACTGTGTTTTGTTGAAGAATTTGAAGAGAGATTTGGAAAGAGAAATGAAAAATATAGGTGATATGTGAATAAAATATACCTACATTTTATCTAATTTCACAAATCTTTTTCGGTTCTCTTTCCAAATCATTTCCCAAATCTCCCAACCAAGCACAACGTGAATGACAAGATATCTTCAACGAGGACAAGGATAGTCCAAGGAGAAAAATCGGGTGGAGGGAGCAGCAGCCACGACCAACCCGTGGCCATTGCCGACCAGCACAATGTGCAGCTGAGTGTTGTAATTGGAAGCCCTCTAACCCCACAGCCACAGCCACGCCACCGCGATGCGTTCCTTTAGTTCCATAATGAACGAAGGAGGCTAGTCTGTTGAAGATTGATTGAAGATTGTTTGGCATAATTTGAGGATGACTGTGTGTTAATTATAGTATTTGTATAAATTAGGTAATGTGTATCAATTAGGTAATCATTCCTTTCTTGCATTGCTGTGTATGGCTATATATATATCATTCCATATTGTAAAAGAATATAGAAAAATAATATTTCATCTTGAAACCTCTGAATCTCTTGTTTTCTACTTGGGACTTATTGACCCCAAAAAAAAGCAAGGCAAACAATGGGGTTCTTGTAATTCCAAAAGGGCACAAGCTTATCCAATGTATCCAGTTGAGATGTGATGGTACCGTGGCACGCTCACATGCCTCTTTGGTGTCAAAAGTACTTTCCTTCATTGAGATTTTTTTGAGTGGGTACATTTTTATTTTTGATTATTTCAAGCTTTAATGTCAAAACCTAGTGTGACCCATGTACATATGCAAAAATCAAAAATCATTTATAATTCTGTCCAACCTTTGTCGCTGTTAATCGTCCTCGTCCTCCCTTAGTTGTCTTCTCATTGGTGGGTACAAAATGCCAGGGAGTAATATTTGACTAGAGCAAAATAAGTTCATTGTTGACCATATAAACTGTAAAGTTTTTCTAAAAATATGGATTGGTCTTTCGATTGAAAGAGAGCACAGAGTGACAATGGTCCATTGTACTCTCTCTCGTTGAGAAGTTATTTAGTATTGCAAGAGTATTGTTTTACGCTATTCATTTAAAGACAAGAGTTCAATTATTTTCTAAAAGAAGACAGAAAAGTAATGGGTCTCATTGATTTAATCAATGACAATTAAGTTGGAGCATCACATCATCTTGCCCTCAAGAGCAAAGAATAATTTTCCCGTCACGTTTCATTCATATTTTTTTTTAATAGCGGGATAACTAGACAGTTTATGCACATTTTTATTAATTTGAAATTTACGCAAAACGGTTCTTCTACGTGAATTGAGCAAAACTACACTCTTTGATAATAGATAAATCGATAAAATATTAAAAATCTTTTAAATTCACAAGAAAAATAAAGTATGATTCAATTTCTTTTATTTTTTTAGATAAATTATATTAGCATATCTTAAAATTTTTAAAAATGTCTCACAAATTTAACATAATACACTAAATTTCTTTAATTTTTTATTCGTATAATGCTCGACCTCTTTTTCATTGAAAAATCCTTAATCGTATGAAAGAAAAAAATGATATTATCATCTATTTTATATTGAAATATATATTTATGTTGTCATTACTTTTTGTCTCTTTAACCTAATAAAAAAATTTAATGTAATTATGTCAAAATTATAAATTTGTTATATTTATTCCAAACCTTAAAAAAAAAAAAAATTAATATAATTATGTTAAAATTGTAAGATTTATTATATTTACTCCAAACCTGAAGAAAAGTCAAATATAATTTACCTTTTTTCTATTTCCTTTTTAGTCATTGTTTAATTGTTTAAAAGAGAAATCAATCTCATTCTTACCTTATTGAAGGTTGACTTTTCTGTTTTTTTCTTTTCTTTTCTTTTCTGTTTTTTTTTTTTTTCTTTTTTAGTCTTAAAATCAATTAAATTGTACAATTTTGACACATGATGTGGTTTCCAGGCTCACGCGAACCAGTCCAAAATGCATGAAACGTATGGGCTTCTGTTCTTGATGAGGGTAATTAGAATGGGCCTTGCCTACTAACAGATCTAAATGAGTTTACTCACATCTGGCCCCAATGGAACATTGCTAAAATGGGTAGCTACAATCAAATTTTGGCTAACCAAAAAAAAAAAGAGGATGTATTTTAGTAATGTGGACAATGCCTAACAAATAATAGAAATTTCTAAATTGCATATAAGCATAAGCTGCCATTTTATAGGGTTTAATAATCAAAGTATATGAACAATATCTTCATTGATTAGTTTACGAGAAGGATCGATATTTATACAAAATGATGATTAGAACCGAAGATTGGCTTGAAAAGTAGCTCCTTCAATATCCTTCTCCTTCTCCATTTTTATTTTTTCTTTTAAAATGGCAAGTTCCTTCTACCTTAGCCGGAACATCTTGTGTTGTGCTTTTGCTTTTCTTTGCCTGCATGAGTCAGATCGAGAAATTTTACAACATTTGATAATCATCATTCATGTTTGATTAAAACATCAGCCACTCTTGGCCGTCGGCCATCTATCTGCTAGGCTAAAATTTTTGCGAAAATTGAAAAATAATATAGACGCATATAAAGTATTTTGGAAAAGTATTTTGAATACAGTGCTAGTAACATTACATTCATTATAAATGAATTTTTTCAAGCAAGTATCAAAAATGTTTTGCTGACAACATTGCATTCATTTTGAATGAGACCTATACTCAACCAAAGATGAATGTAATGTTGCTATATTGCATTCTAGACGCTAATTTTTGTGAAGTTTTTTTTGTTTGTAGCATTAATGATGGAAATATAAATGCAAAAGTGAAGGGGTTGTTAAAAATGCTTACATAGATTGTAGCAAGGTTGCTTAAATGCTGGATCTTCGGTTGCTGGGGGAGGATCCTGACCGTATATCATATCGCAACTCATATCATCATAATCTACAAAAACCAAACAGTGCATCACAGTTACATATGATTATGATGATCTATTAATGGAGCATATGATTTGATGAATCATGAATGAGAAAATGGATATGGGTTGCATTTCAATTTCCAATAGCTCTGTCTAAAATGATACTAGCAATTCCAATGATTGGAATACTAACTTGGGACCATGTTGAGTGGCATTCCTAAGTAGTCCTTAATGAAGGTTTGAGTAGGCATCTTACAGAGGTTGATGCACATCCCCACACAATTCGACTCCTCTAGAAGCCTGCAAAATTCACTAGGTATTGTTTTGAATTGTGGAATCCTAAAAAAAATAAGGATGATAATGAAAGCACCAAAAAAAAAAAAAAAAAAAAAATTTTCATTAAACAGCCCAAGAAATGAATATAGGATGTTGATGCAAAATTGTTAATAGTGTAGAACAAATTTGGTGCACTTATTTTATTTTGTAGACAGTTATTTTTTCTGAATGCATAATATTGACAAAAAGATATGCTCACATATGCTGTTAAAATTGAAGAAGTTACCAAAAAAGACAGTTTATAATTTAAAAAAAAAAAGGAGAAGGAGAAGAAGAAGAAGTAATTTTGGAATTAAAATAAATATATTTAATTTGGAGTTTTTAAAATTAGTTTTATGAGTTTTTAATTCGTATTTTTTTATTGATTATTTTTAAAAATATTTTAATCACTTTTTTTTTTTAAAAAAAAA